GAAGATATACGGAATTTATTTTTTATCTAAGTCTTTTTTCTTTTCTTTCTTTCTTTCTTTCTTTCTTTCTTTCTTTCTTTCTTTCTTTCTTTCTTTCTTTCCTTCTTTCTTTTTTTCTTTCTTTTTTTTTTCTTTCTTTCTTGTCTTTCCTTCTTTCTTTCTTTCTTTTCTTTGTTTGGTCTCTCTTCAATTATTTTTCTGTATCTGAATCAGATTTCTGCAGTGTAATTAGGAACCACCAAAATAAAAACAAACAAACCCTTTCCCTTCATTAGCCCAGAGGCTGTGCTCTATTTGAACAATCTGTTTGTAATGAAAGAGATATATCTAGATTTTTAGTCAGTATGCAGTATACTTCTTATGCATTGTTACTTGTTTTTGCAAAGCATTCAGATAATGTTCTATAATTGTTTATCATATGGGGGCCCACTGTAACCAGGGCCCTCTTTAAGTACGAAATCTAAAAGTGACCTGAACGTTGCTAAATTGGTCATTAAATTGAAACAAAGTAACCTATTTTAATAGTTCTTCATCTAATGAAAGAACTCCCAGTAAAAGAGACCTGTTTGTATCAGTAATTGCCGAACACTAATAGAATGTTGAAGTCGTCGTAAAGGAATGAGCCCGAGTCGCTGCCAGCCGCTCACCGGCACAACGGTACCTACCGCAAGCCGCAGGGAGTGACCTGCCAGTACTAAGGATTTAATCAGGCTTGAACGCTATCTTTAAAGTCATATACAGTCGAGTGGAGTCTACTTAAACTGAACAGCGTTAATCTAAAAACAGTGGTAGACCGAAGGGAAATGAAATCCCAACTATTTCCCCCTGTATTTCAGCTACCTCTCAAAACGGAAAACAAGTCTAAACTGAAGAAAATCTGGCCGTCCCACAGATTTCGGTTGAAGTGGACTCCACTGTGATTTTATCATCATCTTTATCATTATTATTATTGTAATTATGATAATTATTATTGTTGTTAGTATTAATTATTATTGTTATTATTATCATCATTATCATAATCATGAGTATAATTATTATTATTGTCATCATCATTTTAGTTATTATTATTATTATAATTATTATTATTATTATTATTATTATTATTATTATCGTCGACATCATTAGTATAATTATTACTATCCTTATTGTCCTTATTATCATTGTTATTATTAATATTGTTATTATTGTTACTGTTGTCATTTTTAACACATGTCATGTGTTGTGTTTTTCAGGTGAGATGACTCCGACAGAGACGACAAGCCCTCAGACCTGTCAGTTTAGATGTCGTAACTCATTCTGCATCGCTTACCACGATGTCTGCAACGGTTTCGACGACTGCGGAGATAATTCTGATGAGGTGTACTGTTGTGAGTAGAGGGAGAGGGTGAGAGGGAGGGAGGGAGGAGAGAGAGAGAGAGAGAGAGAGAGAGAGAGAGAGAGAGA